GAAAAGTAAAAATACAACAAAAAATATATCATGAGTTCTGAAGTCATTAGTTCCACAGATGTAATTATTAGATAAAATGTCATAACTTTTTATTCACAAGCAACAAAGTCATTATGAGACGCAACAATCATTATTTTAGAATTTAAAGTTAATTTTGAGATTAAAATCATGAGTTTCGAAATTTTATTTATGAGTTTCAAAATCTTTATGTAATGTAAAATTGTAATTATAAAGTTATAATTTTGACAAATCATTTGATATATTTTTGTATTTTTAGTGGCAGAAATAGGTTTCTACTGAATTCAGATTACTGAACTCCCAACACAAAACATACAAAGATTATCATCATTCAATCATTCCAAAACTGTTTTTCCCTTGTTGAAAATGTATTTTACTTTTTAAATAAAAATATGTCCCATGTGAAAACGTGTTTTTTTTTTCYAATGAGAAGTTGATATACCTCCTTGACTTAAAACCCGTGGATTTACACATTGTTTAAATTTACTATGTTTTTACAGATGAATGTTCTTTTCATGCCTTTTGACACTAAATTGCAATGTACATCATGAATATTCTGAAAAATGTTGGCTGAAGCAACAGTTTATAACCTTCACAACACTCAACGTTTTTTTATTTTAGTAATGCAACAACTTTTCAAATATAAAGTAAATTACAGCCACTCAAAAATTAAACTAAACAACAAGTGCAAAACAACAGAAAACACAAGGGGTCTTCTGTTTTTCAGCCCATCCCAACATATTTTTGCCTCTCTTTCTCCCTCTGTACTTATTCATCATTAACCATTTATAGATATAGCTTACATGTTTAAACATTCTCATCAACTTGTGTTTTTCATTTCATAAATTCAGCTAACAGATTCCCTATCATTAAGAATGTGAAATATATTTTTTGTGTGTTCTGTGCTCACAACCAAGAGAAAATGTTGAAATGTTAATCACAGAATCCCAGCAGCTTCTAGAGAAATGCCTTTCAGTCACACAGCCGTGGATGAGGAGGAAAGAAGGAGTTAACTTTGGATTCCAGCTTTTCATTCTTCCTAAAAGCAAAGCTTTAAGGCCTCACAGGGAAATTGTTGCACAGGAACTGAGAAAGGAGGAAAAACAAAACATGGGTAGAAATAGCAACCTAAGAGACTCAATGAATCATGATACTTTATTAGGTATGCTATGTTAAGATAAAGATACAAATTCTGTTTGAAATATGAACGACAGAAAAGTTTGGTATGCTCTAAATGTCAAAACCCATGAACGGCTGAGCTGTTCTGTTRTTTTAACAGGACTTCTTATTTGCTTTTTGGCCTAACATCTTGCCCAATGAGCTGCCCAAAGTCATTCTTTTAGTAGCACACACCTACAGACACAAGCGCTAAAGTCTAAAACGTGATTTTCTCCATGCATCACACAGACATGTCAAAGTGTGTGTGTGTTCACGTTTCAAAGGGTTTAGAAGCTTTAGACAAAGTTTGCCAGCCTCAAATCACCTTTCCTGCAGCCGCACTTTAAAGACAGAACACCTGTCTGACCATGACACACCACAGAAGTGCTTACGTTGCACTAATCAGACCTGTCCACATCACCTGCACTGCCAATAAATTTCACTTCAGGCCGTGGCAACGTTCAAAGTCACAGCAGGGGTTGTTTCTGCTGCACATCAAGACTCAAGGTTTATCAGGTTTATTTCTCATGCAGTTTATAAATCTGATATTTTTAATGTTGTTCTCTTTTTGTAACAGCGTTTGGTTTAACCGGGAGAAGGTAACCCAATAAACTTGCCAGCCAGTCTTAAAAAGATGCTCGCCCTGGAGTTTGTTGAGTCCTGATGTTATTGTGTAAAGTGAAAATAGGGTCAGAGGACAGAGATCAATAAGTACCTGTCAATAATCTGAATCTAATCCATGATCTCTTTCAGGAAGGCTTTGTGTAAATAATCTGGAAGGGATAACTTTTAAAAAAGGTAGCAGAAAAAAATAATTATTTAAAAAAACTGCTTAATGTTTTATTGATTTATTTGTTTTTAGCTTCAAACCAGCTCAATGCAAACCTTTTTGAGTTTGCATTAAGTTTCAGAGTGAAATAAATTCTCATTTCTGCTGTACAAAGAAGCAATAATTCAAATGCAACTGTTGAAGAAATACAAGCAGAACATAAAAAATAATATTTTTCACATACGTATATATAAAGAGAGTTGCAATTATTTTCTAACCAATGTGAATTGTTTATCTATTATTACCAGGTAATCTTAGTTTAAAAGCCTTCAGAGACATGTTTAATATTAACCCATCCATCCATCATCCATCCATCCATTTTCTTCCGCCTATCCGGGGTCGGGTCGCGGGAGCTGCAGCTTCAGAAGGGAGGCCCAGACCTCCCTCTCCCCAGCCACTTCTTCCAGCTCCTCCTGGGGAACTCCAAGGCGTTCCCAGGCCAGCCGAGAGACATAGTCCCTCCAGCGTGTCCTGGGTCTTCCTCGGGGCCTCCTCCCAGTGGGACGTGCCCAGAATACCTCACCAGGGAGGCATCCTTACCAGATGCCCGAGCCACCTCAATTGGCTCCTCTCGACGTGGAGGAGCAGCGGCTCTACTCTGAGTCCCTCCCGGATGACCGAGCTTCTCACCCTATCTCTAAGGGAGAGCCCAGCCACCCTGCGGAGGAAACCCATTTCGGCCGCTTGTATCCGGGACCTCGTTCTTTCGGTCATGACCCAAAGCTCATGACCATAGATGAGGGTAGGAACGTAGATCGACCGGTAAATCGAGAGCTTCGCTTTCTGACTCAGCTCTCTCTTCACCACGACGGACCGGTACAGTGCCCGCTTTACAGCAGACGCTGCGTAAATATTAATATTAATATTAACCATCACCCTTAATTTGCAAATTGTATCAGACTCAATACAAAAAAAAGTACAGCATTCTGGGGATGCTGTGCTCTGCATTGTTACAATAATAAGCGAATGGCTCAGATCGGCATGAATAAACACTTTTTCATCTAACTCAATCAATTATGACATCGAGACATTAAATATGCTGTCATTTGGAATAACTGGCTTTGGATTCCTCAACCTGTTTGCACCATAAAGGGCAGCGCAGCATGAACATTATGTTGTACATACTGCAGTGTAATCATCTCGTTGCCGCACTCAGCTGCTGTAATTTGACCTTGCCATGATTTATCATACACACTACACAGACCATCATTTCGACATACTAATCTGCTCCGACACATAGACACATGCTTTGCTGCACAGTCCGGTGCAGTTCTGCAGTGGAGCCCGGCGCTGCTGAATTCTTCCCCTTGGCTGCCAAAGGTTTACAATGCAGCAAGGTGACTCAATGTTATTGTCTTCTCCTTAGAGAGCCTCTTCCCGCTGAATCACAGCTTACTGAAGGTGTTCAGCAGAAAATGAATTAAAAATCATTTTTGCTTTGACTTTGCTGTGCATTGCTTCTAACAGATCTGGCTCTAGTTCTCATAGAAAATCACTTAAATCTGAGATTATTTTTAAAGCGTTCCTTGTGTATACTCTAAACGAGTATATTCGGACAGTATTCTTCTTGGGAGTGTGCAGCTCATTTAATCATTGTTGATGAAAAGAAGTGCTGATCAGACCCATCCACAAGAGCTTTCTCTTACTTTGGTTCTGATCTTAAAGTGATGATTAATTACCTCCCAGCTCACTGAACTATTACACTGACATCTACAGGGCAGGGATGTTATATTTAGTCATAAGCTCACTCATGCAGAGAGAAACTAGATTTATTGTCTTGCTGCAGCTGCCAAGGCTCATAGTTTTTTTAGACATCACTCTATGTTTTTTTTTATTTCAGCAATCATAAATTCAATAGAAAGTTAATGTTTGTAATATTCCCCTTCAACAAACACCTGGATTTAATTAGAGGCAATTCAACCACCTGCAACAAAAAGGGAACAATATTTCTCACTGAACTCAGCATATTCCATAAACTTTTTCAGCTTTTCAGATACAAAAATCATGACACCAGACAAGGATGATGCTTTATTCTTGATTTTTTTAATCATGTAATTATTTTGTCCCATGCCATATCTCCATCAGTGAACTGTTTATTCCACAACTCATCCAGGTCAAATAAACACGACACTGCCCTCTGCTGAACAGWTGATGTATGTACACGTCAAACCGCACTGCGTAAAGTCAGAGGAAAACAAACAACGGGAATGTTKTGATTTGGATGAACCTACTGTATTTGTAGCAGGTGCTGCAGTTTGCAATGTAATCTAATGTACTCCACACAGTGCTTTCAGGAACAGTTAAAGCTGGGAATTTGAGTTCAAACTCCAATTATTTGTTAAGCCAAGTAAAAGTAAATTGTTGATCAAAAAATAATGTAATCCATATAAGGTGTTTGTGTTTGGACTAACAAGTTATTTTCTTCCTGTACAGTGATAATAAACTAAAAGGTGTTTGGTCATATAGGCTCTAAGCCTAAGATCTCCCTATGAGGCCACAGAAACAGCCTGAGGTTAGAGGTGGACTTGGACCCATTAATCACACAGCGCTGTGTAAAAGCTGACAGCACTGCACTCTGTGGGATTTCACACTCTTGAACTATTTTCTTTCTTTCTTCCCCCTTTTTTTTTACAAGAAGCAAAGAAAGGAAAGTCTTTTGCAAAGTCACACTTCAAAAATAATCTTTATGATGTGAAAAKTTTTTGGTCCAAACCATGATGTTGGAGAAAGGTGAAACACTGAACCTGTCAATACGTTATCAGTCCTTCAGACCCTAATGTGTTTTTTTTTTCTGAATGAATCGTTTTTATGTTGAACTAAAAGTACTACCTACAGCATTAAATTATTTTATATTAATAATAACACAGCACTCATGAGCTAAAATCTTGCATGAGTAGTTAACATGAAATCCTTTCAGTGCATTTACCTGAGTGTACATGTCGTGTTTTATTTTTAACAATATTTTTCATCAAAATTCAACAACAGCGAAAACTTTTAGTTGCTTCAAATAATAGTATGGCTGTAATTTTTTCATAAKTTTGTACTGATTTTGAAAACAATAGAACAAAGACAGCAATACTTTGAAAAGCCAGTAATTTTATGACTTGTCACCTCATTTTACACAGGATCTACATTCGATCATAAACAAGGAAGCACCGCCCACCTGCTCGCTCGTTTGTCGCCACGTACAATGTCACGCAACCTAACTTGCTCCTTCATTTTAATGGTGCCGCTGAAATGACCAATCGAATTAAAGATGTTGCGCATGCACCCTACAGTGCTGGCTAGCGAGTTAGCTGTCAACATAGTTCCAGCTGAGAGAGAGCAACGGGAGGGAGGCTGGGCAGATGAGGCTTAAAATTAATTTCAAAGTAAGTTTATAAGTAACATGCAAATGGAGTTCATTAGTGAAGTGTTTTACGACACGTTTAGAGTAATGGACACGTTTTGTTCTGTACAGTTTAAAGCGACTTACAGCGGTAATCGAGAGCTCATGGCAGCCATACGTCAGTCAATAGCAGAGGCAACAGCTTCATTAAGATATTCTTAGCTAGCCACATAGTCAGCCTAGAGAAGCTATTTAAATAAGACCAAGTTCAAACATAGAACTCATAAAACCCCATTTTTTTTTAGTATTCCACTGTTAAATAAATGTGATATAATCTATATTAAAACAGGTGTAAATGTGTTTCTGTCCAGATGTGCTGGAGCCGGTTTTTCGTCGCCGGCTGGGCTCTCCTGCTGCTGGGTCAGCTGCAGGACTCAGAGGCTGTTCCTATAGGTATCGACAAAACAAAAGTCAAAGAGCCAGAGAAACAAACTGAAGAGGTACCACCAGCTAATGTGGTAAGGATCACAAAACTCACAAGCTGAAAATCTGTTAAAGCGTGTAACATATACCTTATTGTTTTAAAGCTGGTTTTCTATTTGATATTACTGACTTTCAAACAACTTGTTATTCTGCTTTAAGGATTAATTACATCACACGTGAAAGGAAATCAAAAATCCTGATGTATTTCCTGTAATGCAACAGTTTTGAGAAAGCATATTTGGGCTGCATTCATTTTAATTAGTTGCAGTTCCCTATTCATGCTTCTGTGCTTCTCACGTTTAAGGCTGCCACGATTAGTCGATTAATAGACGACTAATCGATTATTAAAATAATCAATGACTAATTTAATAATCGGTTAATCAATTTTTTTCTTTACTTTGTTTTTCTCTTCAAACTGCTTTGACACCTTCCACTGCCACATCTGCCTTTCTGTCCTTGACACACATGCACACTAGTGGTAACTGGGGTAGGCCGTGGACGTCACAAGACATTATACCAGAGGTGCCCAAAGTGGGGCCCGCGGGCCAAATTTGGCCCACCAAGCCATTTGATTTGGCCCACCAGCAGTTATCCTGGTTACTAGATTGTAATCTCCTGTTTTATGTAGAAATACTATATTTGCACTTAGTGTTTTCAAACATTGGTCCAGATATAAGGAGCTGTAGTCAGCTAGTCTTAGTCTTAGTCTTAACTTATGGTGCTCACTTTGTCTTTAAATTATGTTTAAATTAAACTTAAAATACAAGTGAGTTCAAGAGACATTTATATTAGATTTAAGTCCATATCTAGATTTGCACACCTAATAAGACCACATATACTCAAATTTTAAATTATAAAAAGTCCCATGAGCCTTTGCTGCCCTAGCATACGTTGAATTTTCTCCACATCCATGAGCTGAAAAAACAAACAAACAAACTAGGAAATGTGGGCAACCATACTGGCTGCTAGCTTAATTATAAAAAACACAACTTTACTTGAAGTATTTGCATTTCATGTATTATATTATTGCATTTGGCCCACAACCCTCAGATTGATTTTAATCTTGGCCCTCTCAGGGAAAATGTTTGGGCACCCCTGCATTATACAGACAGGCTCTGGTATTGTGGCTACCTGGCAATGGAGCTCAAAAGTGTGGGATCATTTTAAGAAAATGAAAGAGAAACCTGTGCAATATCTGCAAGGCAGAACRTGCCTTCCACAGCAATTATTTTTAGTTAGCATATAACCAAAATCTAACGATGGTTATATAATAGCAGCTGCATTCTGGCGCGATAAGCTGTGTGTTTTATATTCAGTTAATGTATGATCCGATTAGCCGACTAATCAAAAAAATAATAGATGATTAATCGACTATAAAAATAATCATTTGTGGCAGCTCTACTCACGTTTATTGTAAACATTACAACACTTAATATAAACTTCTAATTATGTCATCTTACTTTAAATACYTGCTATTTTTGATATAACAAAAACAATTAAAACAAATACATGGCTCTAACTTCTGGTTCAGGTATTGTGTATTTATGTATTTACAGCCTTGTCATATATTCACATGCTTTCTGTTGTGACATACAAATGCTTAGAAATGTTTTGTTACAGAATAGTTGTTAACAGTTGCACAGCTGATACAGAATAACACTTGTCAATCTGAAAATCTCAAAAATGCTGGTTAGGAAGAAACACAACATCTCCTGGAAGTCTTTTAGAAACAGATTCAGTTGATCAATTTTTTCTTTTTGAATAGATAGCAACAAAAATGACATTATGAAACTAGTGCTTTTAGAGTTACATTTACAGTAATGTCAATATTATATAAATTAGGATTTTAAGTCTCATTTTATTTGCTGATAGGACACTGGACTCCACTATGACCGCTACCTCAGAGAGGTCATCGATTTCCTTGAGAAGGATCAGCATTTCAGAGAAAAGCTCCACAACACAGACATGGAAGACATTAAGGTTTGTTGCATTTTTTATTTGATTTTTGTAGCAGTCTTATAATGCTATACTTGTATGTATCAGTCCTTTTGTTAAGTATTTTTTTAATTATAATACTAAGATGCAAAAGTCTGTAAGAACTCTGTAGTGGAAATATTTGTTAAAAGGCAGAAACACGTGAATAAAATAAAATGCACTCCGTGAATGGTTGTCAAATGATTTAAAGGGATCCATGATTAGTTGTAACATTAGACTTTATTTGATAAACAATTATTTTAACTGTAAAATAAAGACTGTAAAAATACTGTAGGCTGTTTTTGGTTTTAAAAAAAATATATTACACGGACGGGGCCATTTTATTTACACGCAAAGCATTTTGGGTAAATGATGACGCGGATAGGTCATCGGTGCGAGGCTGCTAGCGAGATACATCCACCCTGATGGTTAATCTTGGACAATATCTGATGATCAACTTTTTCAAATGAAACCAGAGAGCGTTGACAGAGAGGAGAAGGTAGAAATGACTCAGCCTGTAACTGAAAATTTGGATGGAGGACAACAGAGCTGCTTCATGGAAGAAGAACCTCAGCTTAGCCTGTTAGCTTTAGCATTAGCCCCGACGCTATCAACATATATATATATATATATATATATATATATAAAATATATGTGTGTGTGTGTATTAGCTCAGCGCTACACATTCTCCTCTCGTCACTGAGGTCCTCCATCCACATGACAGAGAGGAGAATGCAAAAATGACTCAACCTGCAAGTGAAAATATGGATGGAGGACCTCAGTTTAGCTTGTTAGTTTGTCAGCGCTAGTGCGAAAGCTAACAGGCTAAGCTGAGGTTCTTCTTCCATGAAGCAGCTCTGTTGTCCTCCATCCATATTTTCAGTTACAGGCTGAGTCATTTCTACCTTCTCCTCTCTGTCAACGCTCTCTGGTTTCATTTAAAAGAGCCAATTGTCAGATATTGTCCAAGATTAATCTTCAGGGTGGATATAGCTCGCTCACACTGAGGGCCTATCCACGTCATAGTTTACCCAGAATACTTTCCGTGTAAATAAAATGGGTCTGTGCGTGTTAAAATAAATTTTTTTAAATTTACAAAACTAAACAGCCTACAGTATTTTTACAGTCTTTATTTTAGAGTTAAAACAAATGTTTATCAAATAAAGTCTAATGTTACAACTAATCATGGATCCCTTTTAATAAAGGTTTGCAATTGCAAAGCTGAGCAGCAGAAAAATGGTTTTACATACAGARGGGGCATTGAACAGCCAATGACAGAGTGACAGGTTTCACTTCTGCTCTAAACAGGATAAGGATGTGAGACATCAATGGCGTCTTTGAAATCATAAGGACAGATTATGACAAATCATAGCAGTTATCAAAAAGATACAAATAGGAATGTCAGGACAATATGAACTTAGTAATCAGGCATAGAGGTATAATTATGTTCTAGCACAAACTCCTTAACGTTTTGATTCTGAGTAATGCTTCCTTAATGTTGTATAAAAATAATTGTTGTCTAATTTGTTTGATTTAGCAAGGTAAACTGGCTAAAGAGCTGGACTTCGTTAGCCATCACATCAGAACAAAACTTGATGAGCTAAAAAGGCAGGAGGTCAATCGACTGCGGACCCTGATTAAGGCTAAGCAAGACCTAGAAGGAGGCAACGGTACATTGTAAAAATACATCYTGTATCATTTTGATGTTCAAAATAAAATACTTGGAAAAAATGCTTTTTGATCAATCTAAATTTTATCCATGTCAACATTTGTTTCTTAAACAGACATAGCAGTGGATCACCAGGCTCTCCTGAAGCAGTTTGAGCACCTGGACCACATGAACCCACATACATTTGAAGTGAACGACCTGGATCGACTCATTAAATCGGTAAATTCTATCACTTCATCATGTTTGGTCAGGAGAAGAACCCAAAGGATAAACTGATGTAAACTACTAGATACAACAGAGTCATGTTGTGATTTATATGAGCAAACAACAGATGATYTATTAGTGTTATGAACTTCTCATGAAAGACTTTATAGCATGTAACATGAAATCAGTGGGTAACAGCTGTATGTTATTACCTACACTCAGGCCACACATGACCTGGAGAACTATGACAAAGAAAGACATGAAGACTTCAAGAAGTATGAGATGATGAAGGAGCATGACAGAAGGGAGCACCTGAAAACCCTGGATGAGGAGGAGAGAAAGAAGGAGGAGGAGCACTATGAGGAGATGAAGAAGAAACATGCCGACCATCCTAAAGTCAATCACCCAGTGAGTCATGTAGTGGCAGTTAGGACACAAAAACACAACATACCACTAGAGTTTCATAAAAACTAACATCTCCCATCACAATTTATCCATAAACTAAAGTTTTGTATTGCAGGGCAGCCAAAATCAGCTAAAAGAAGTGTGGGAGGGAGCTGACGGCTTGGACCCCGAAGATTTTGATCCAAAGACCTTTTTCAACCTTCACGGTAAACATCCAATAAAATTATCCTTTTATTTAATCCCAACTATTTTGAGTTGTTTTTCTAAAAACTGCATTCCTTGTTTTTTAAAATGCAGATACTAATGGGGATGGCTTTTTCGATGAGCAGGAGCTTGAGGCATTGTTCACCAAAGAGGTAAATCCGTGGCTTGAGAGGCGCTGTAGTGTTTCAGTGGCTGGTTCAACACTGACCATTCCCCACCTCTGTGATTTCAGCTGGAAAAAATTTATGACCCCACCAATGAAGAGGACGATATGGTGGAGATGGAGGAAGAGAGGCTACGCATGAGGGAGCATGTTATGAATGAGGTACAGTAAGTCAGACTCAGAGCTACCTACAGCTGTCTTTATTTAGGCATTTATTTTCTTTTAGTTTAAGATTAGTGTGATTAATGCTTAAATGTGTCATATTTTTGAGCTCTACTTTATTATTTAGCCTAAATTCAAATAGACCTCAGTGAGGCTGTGGTGTTTAGCTTTGAGAGTCCATCTATGGTCCTATCAATAGATCATTAAAACTTRGTGATTAAAAGTTTGTGCTGCTCAACTGTTTTGTGGTAATCTATAAATCAATAAGCTCACTGCTCTTCTTTTTACTTTAGGTGGATTCTAACAAAGACAGGTTGGTGTCTTTAGAGGAGTTCCTGGTCGCTACAAAGAAAAAAGAATTTCTGGAGCCGGATAGCTGGGAGGTGAGACACTAAATATGATGGTTGCAATAATTAGGGCTAATTAAATCATTTAAAGGTAATTTAAAAAGTAAAACTGAAAAGTGGCGGTCATTTATTTTTTCCCCATCAGACCCTGGAGCAGAACCAGGCTTACACAGACGAGGAGATGAGGGAGTTTGAGGAGCATCTTGCTCAACAAGAGCAGGACCTCAATCAAAGAGCTGTTGACCTGCAAAAACAAAGAGACGAGCTGGAGAGGCAGCAGGAGCAGCTCAACGCACAGAAAATAGAACTCCAGCAGGTAAGAAGTTGTACAATAAAATTCACAGCTGTGGATTTTAAACATGAAACTACAGTGAAACATCAGAGACCTTTTTTCGGCAAGGTTTCATATTTTCAAAAAAAAAAAAAAAGATTTTTGATAACATTTAATAATGCTAGCAGCTAGCAATAGCATTGTCAGTCCTGTGCTAATATTTTAACTTGGCAAAATCATTTGAGTGAGCCGTGGAGATATAGCCTGGTAAAAACCAGCCCCTTGTTCTTCGCTTTGCTTCATACAGACAGAGAAGTGAAGGGAAACTAGAATTGAGCAGAACTGCGTAGGAAGGCAAGGGCCAGGCTAGTGGAGATAAGAATTATTACTTTTGTATTACAATCATTGGGCCTCATGCAAGAACATGTTCGTATTCTTATCCTAAATTTCTCTTACTTTTGTTCGTACGAACATGTCACGTCAGATTCAACAAACTCTCCTATCTTCAGAAAAAGTATCGAAATGAGCAGCGTAAACTGATGAATGTGTATCAGGTGCTCGCGGACGAGGAGAGGAGATTAGCATAATTACCACCCTAAAAACACCATATAAGGCTATATGTTTCCTGCCCCAGATACCAGGAAGTGTCCATTCATAAATGAGATCGCAAAGTAAAAAGAAGAACTTTACGAGTTCGGAGATTGAAGTCTTGCTCTCAGAGATCCAGAAAAGGAAAATCTGTCAATTTTAGCAGCGTCAGCTGTGGAATTAAAGGACCTGCTAAAGCCGAGGAATGAAAAGACTGCTGTTAATGTTGTGTCTCTCGTGGGTTGTACAGTGACAGAAATAAAAATCTAAATCACATTTGTTATGGAAATATTTATTTAACAAAGACAGAAATATGTGGTCCAAGAAGGAAGGTACTCCATGGGATGATCAGCTGAGTTTTATTGCAACAACAGGAACACAGAAAACATTGAGCCATCAGACTGTCCCCCCTGCTCTCTGCTCCTGCTTCTCTGAGGCAGTTGAGGCCTCATATATACTGTTTAACAAACACTATTATGTCATCTTAAAAAAGCAAGTGTAGGGGTCACCTCAGGTGAGGAAAAAAGAATTTCTGCCTCTAATATAGGCCTTGGAAGGGCCTTCAAAAAGGACAGAAACTCTGTTCCACTCTGAACTTTATTTAGGCCATGACAGGTCATTCTAATCGTGGAAGAGAACCTCTCTTCCTTTTAATCAGATAATGGACAGAATAATCTCCATTGTTCGTGATTCATTTTTCATTTAACTAAGAATGTTTYTGCATTTGTTAAATCAAAGATGAATCACGAACAATGGAGATTTCATCCAAAGGAAATGCTGGGTCAACGGAAAACACAAAGAAACACAAGTGATATCTAAGAATGACTGTTGTTAGCTAATCTTGTTCTGACTTTAATCATTCTATTTGCTGATAAACAGCATGTCATGAAAACTTAGGTCATTAAAGTATGTCATGAATTACTGCCTTAAACCTAAAAGTATTATTTTCATAATAATATTCATCTCTCTCTAGTCCTGCTCCAGTTTTCCTTTGGTCAAATATTTTTAATTTAACTGTAAACAACTATGTTGCATAGTTTTCATTTATTCAGAAGCGCTCCTAAATCACTTGTACGCACAAGAACAAATCTGTTCGTACCAATGGTTCTTGCATGAGGCCCATTGTCCGGAGATTCATTTTAAGACGAATACAGATTATAAATCAGTTATTCTAATTTGAGCAAATGAAATTGCATATACACAATGCCTGTTTGAACTATAACATTTAGGTTGTCTTCTACAATACCATGTGCACTTTCAAATTGCAAGAAAACATGAACAAAACTTTTTACAGGCCGTGGAGCATATGGAACGACTTAAGTCAACGAATATGGACCCCTCTCTAGATGTTCATGGTGAGTGTTGATTGTATTGCTTTTTAGTATATATTTTTATTTTTTTAATGTCTAAGCGGACAATCCAACACTGCTCTTCCTGTTACAGTTGAAGGAAATGCGTTACATGCAGTTGACAACCAGCAGCATGCTGACCCAGGAGCTTATCCACCAGGACATCAAGACGGACAGCTGCAGGATCATCATGGACAGCAGCAGGATCATCATGGACAGCAGCAGGAMCATCATGGACWGCAGCAGGAMCATCATGGACWGCAGCAGGAGCATCATGGACTGCAGCAGGAGCATCATGGACTGCAGCAGGAGCATCACGAGCAGCAGCAAGAGCATCACGGACAACAGAATCAGGACACACTTCAGCAAGATCTCCCCCCACATCAGGAGACACACCCAGACCCTCAAGAAGTTGCACATGGCCAGCATAACCTGCCATAAAATTGCTGTCAAGAACCACTAGACTTCTACTGCACTTCAAGTCCTCCGTGCAGAAGAGATGTCCTGCCTGATCATAAGACCACTGCAACCAGTTTTCAGGTTTTTAAATACAGGTTACATGGAAAGAAAACAGTGGCACYTGAAATCCAAGTTTTTCATATCAATAAACAAAGGGAACTAGAATTTTAAAATGACCCACTGTAGACCGGTTCCCCAAAATGCGCATCAAAGAAATGCAAAGAAATATGTAGAATATGATCGTTTTGTTTGCAGTTGAACCTTCAGAGAGGTCCCCTACTTTTTTACGCAACCTGATGGATTTTATTTTCGAGGTGGTTGGATTTGTGCATGTTTGTTTGAGGGTGTTGAGGTGTAAAAAGTCATTTCTAATTTTAGCCTTATAATTTGGCATGACCTTTTCAGTTGCACTCAAAGATTTCTCTAAAAAGAAGTTACATACATAAATAATTGTGGAATGTTTTTTTTTTTTTCGTTGGTGGCATCAGTGTTTTGGAAATTAAACCCAAGAGGCATTTATAAGTTTTTCTTTACTTTGAAGAAGAATAAGAGCAAAGGATGCACTAAAGGAATATTAAATAGTGTGAAGTATTTTCATGTTTTACCATAAAATTTAATGTAAAAGTAATGTTTCGCTACGATTTGGTATAGTATCTCCAAGGTTGGGACAGGTTTTTCAAGCAAATCATACTTCCAAGAAGGGGTGGGTGGTAATGAAGCTAAAACTAGGTGCACTGCCTAAAGTACATGCTACACTCTTGTGATTTTAGTGCAACTCTGCTTTAAAAAAGGTGCTAGAAACAAAGACATAAGTAAAAGCCTCCAAATTTTTTTTCAATTTTTAAGTCTTAAATAAAATTGTATAGAAAATTTAGAAATTTAAGGTTAGCTATGGTATATATCCTAAGAGATAAAACACACTATGTAACTGATGGATCTCATCTTTATTACACAGCTCAAGTAGTCTTATGCAAATGTGTACAAACAAGTGATACCTTTACAGCAATTTCAATTAAGGGTTGTCCATCWCAATTATGTTGATAAAACAACCAGGTTTACCTACTTTGCTGTTTTGTAAGTTCACTTTACTCCAGTTAGGGATTAGGTCATAATTTTCTTCTATATTGCTGGTTTACTTGATGTGCTGTCCAGTTTTTTTAAATAATTCAGCTTTGTTTTTTATCTGGCTACAGTAAGCAGATGTTTGACAGTTGCTACTTTCTACTAAATGAACAAGACATCACTTATGGTAGTGAAGGAGGCAAAGGAAAAACATCTACAAAGCATTCTCTTTCATTTTCTGTGTGCCATGTGTTTTTAAAACCAAATCTTCTGGATTTGACAATATTTAGGTGGGATTGCTGCTGAATAAGAATTAAATACCATACACTTGGATAATAAAAAAAGTTTACCTTTTATACTGTCTTTGTGGTTTTCAGTCTTTTTGTACACAATGGAAATTAGGATAAAATATTAAGCAGTTATTTGTTACAAGGGTCTTAAAATAAAAGGGGTGTTGGTGAGATTTTAAATATGTCCTTAATGTTACAACAGTCCTTCAAAGCTGCGTGCTATTAAATAAGCAATTATACATTTTCACATTAACTGGGCTASCTCATACACAGTATATGGTTGTGTTACTAATACCCTGCTAATTCTTTGCTTTTCTTTAGTTGGACCCTGAATCATATGTTTATTAAATCGCTGACAATCTTRAATAACTGAACATAGTTTGTAAAAGCATACAYAATAAGAGGTGACATGAAAATTACATGGCTTCATAAAAACAGGCTTATAGGATACAACTTTATTTAAACAGTCTCAACCAATAACAGTGTACAAATGGGTTATGCTGCAATGATGAGTGGGTTAAAAGAAGAAAAAAAACGAAATAAATGGCTTTATGAAAATTATAAGGTTAAAACAAAACAATGTGTTTAACGTCACAGGGCACAAAAAAGTATCTGATTAATGGTGGCAGGGTATTTTTTGCATTTATTTTGTAAAAAATAAAAATAAATTAATGAAGTCTTTCAAGTTTACAGGAATATCCGTTTGTAGTTTTACATCACACAGACTTGCTGAGAATCCTACATGTGGTGAACGTCAGCATGTTTGTGTTAAAACATTAAGAGGATCTAGACAGACCAAAACAGGCTGACTAATTATTGGGCCAAGAGTTACAAATTAAAAAAAGTGTTAAAAAGTGAGCTAGGGTAAACACATTCGATATCCTGAATGTTCTACGTGGCGCAACTTGATGGTCCATAAAAGCAATGCGATTAAGATCGCATTGCTTGAGCATTGCCCCGCGACAAACCTCGAGATCCTTGACCAGTTCCTCGTTTGTAGCCCTGCTGGTATCCCTCCTTAAAAAAAACAAGCGAGTATTTACAAAGATTAGCACCTAATACGACAAAATGTTAAGTCGGTGCTCTGAACTGCATCTTACCCTCTGGTATGTACTATTGGAATAATCCCGAGATGTGTTAAACTGGGTTTGGCCATATCCGCTGGTGGGAGGAGCATTTGAAAAGGAGGGACGATAACCTTCATATCCCCCTGATGACAAGATATTAAATGTAAAACTGAAACTATTAAAGTCATAAGATTATCTGTTAACGGTACGATGCTTTTACCTCTGAATCCATTTGAAGAGGCCCGATATCCATTCACCACTCCACGAGCATTCCTGGGTCCACCTCTGGGTGCGGCCCTGCTTGTGTAAAAAGACTGGCTGGACTGTCCAAACCCTGCAGCTGCAGAGGAGTCCTCATGTCCTCCAGCTGAAGGCATGACTTGGTCTTGGGGCTGGAACCCACCAACAACTGGGGAGCCGAACAGTGCAGGTTAGCTTAGAAACAGCAGTAAACCCTCAGAGCTTTTAACTGTATTCATGTAAGACTGTGTACTGTTCATTTATCTTTTGTGGCCTTGAATTATTTTATTTTTCTAAATTTGAAGTATCGGTGTACCTGACTGTAGTCTTTCCTGTGGAATTTCAGGCTGCTCTACCGTATTCTCTGACTGGCTGTTAAAGCTCTGACCGTAGCCACCTGGAAATTGGCTGGACTGCTTCAATGGGTCTGGTTGGCTGTCAGTGGGAGGAGGTACAGGTGCATTCATATTGAATACCTAAAAAAAAAGAGAGAGAGAGAAAAACAAAAAAGCAAACAAATTGATTTTGTCTGCCTCTGCAGACTGAAAGGTTTGAATTTCTGCCCAAGAAGTTGCTGCAACAAAAAAAGAAAAATCTATGTACTGGCCCTAAATATTAGATTTTTTTTCTCCCTTTCACTAAATATTACCAAGCCTCCTGTTTAGTTTGCTTTAATCGAACTCTAGTCCATTAGCCTAGAAAGTCTGGTTCATTTGTATGAATGCGTTATTYAACTCTGACATGGACCAAATAAATAAAATCTAGTCCAGGGGTTCTCAAACTTTTTGGGTCTGGGACCCCCTTACAAGGGTGAAAAATGTCCAGGAACCCCCTCATAAACCCCATGCTGTTAATGCAAAATAGTTAACTGTTATTTTAACCACTAAATGCCATGGTAATGTTATTTTTTGTTTAGTTTAGTATGTTTTACAAGTGCATTATTCCCCATATGCATTCTTTTTAAATAAAAAGCAAATTGACAATTTGTTGAAATTTTTTGAGGACCACCAAGACACGGCTCGTGGACCCCTGGGGGTCCTGGGACCCCAGTTTGAGAACCTCTGATCTAGTCCACCTCCAAATCTAGGTCTCGGTTTGTTGAAACAGGTTGGTCACAGGGTTTATTTCAACACAGAGCAGTGTGAATGCAAACCGCACCAACTGAAAATGTAAACAAATCTTGCAATTTTGGTCCCCAGTCAAACCGAGTCTACCAGACTATCTGGGGCGAATGCAACCTAAGACAATCTATTAACGTCAAATGTATTTCTGTCACATTGCTTAAATGAGCCTGGAGCGTACCGCTTGCACTGACTGGAAAGGCGCTGCGTTCACGTTGATGCCTCCAGAGTGGGTGGGTTTAGAGACAGGTGGGAAGGCAGCAGACAAGGAACACGGGACAGTCGACTGTTCAGGTGACATAGAAAGGGAGGCCTGGGTAGGTAGGAATGAGGAGAATTGAAACGTGAGGGGAACAAAAGAAATGTTAAAGAGGTCAGAGGATCAAATGAGTTTTTGGATCATTTGTCTAAAAGCTTCAATGTATTTTAACATATTGTTTAAATAACTTCATAAAACACAATAGACTGTGTCACGAGAGAGCATCATATTAATAATTTTTTTAAATAAAAAACACCATCTGCATTTTATCTGAAATATCTGTTATTTTTACTGACTGCATGCTAACAAAAAAATCAATCAATCAATCAAGAGAAAACAGCCCTGCCAACCACTTCATGCTGGTTTTTTGTCCTTACTTGAGACGAGTCTTGTGGTCCGGATATTGTAGGTGTTTGAGAAAGCCTGGACTCTGAGTGAACTGCTGAAAAGAAAAATAAATCTTGAGATAAAAAGAAACGACGTCTCGAGCAGGTTTACTTCCCTTCTAGGATTACTTACTTGAGGGGCCACCCATCTGTTGCAGGTCAACGGTCTGCAGGGGCTTCATTGGTTGGGCAGAAACGATGGCTGGGTCCAGAGCCTGGCCGTCAAATTCCAACATGGAGTCCTGTAAAGAACCAGACAAGTGTCAATGTCCTGCTGAGGCAGAGAGTTCAGTGGACAAGTAAGTTAAACCACTATCCTTTAAATAAGATTTTTAAATAATTTATTTTGCAAGTATCTTATTTTTGTCGGAATTAATTTTAGTTGTGTTTCCACCTCACTCACATTGGTGGAGCAGATGGCCTGCTTTCCTTTGTTTCTGTCAAATACAGCACAACTTTTTTTTATTTTAATGCATCATACTGTAATTCCAGGGCTGATGAATTGCATTTTTTTATAGTCTGGTCTAAGTGACCCATCATATTGAAACGAGGATTAAGTCTAAAAGTGGTACAGTATATGGCAAATAGTGTTTTGATRAAAATGTTTGCAAAAATTGCATTTGTCAAAACATAATGAATGAATGRCTTATCAATGTATCKTTTGAATGAARTGTCTGAAATATAATCATAAAACAAAATTTTGAAGCACTTTTTTGAGCAGTAGCAACAAAAAACCTGATTTTSAGGAAAAATGRRTTAAACTTTTGAGATTTTCCATGTGAGCTAGCAAAGTTTTTCTTTMCAGCTGTGAAATCTTAATATACAAATAATGAGGTTTCRTCTTCATAAGGACATCAAAATTGCTCATTGAAATTCATAAAATTGGGATTCAGACCAAATATTTATGTATTATCATAACAAACAAGACAAATTAAGGCATACATATGGATTTAATTATGATATCAGAATGATCCAGGTATCAAAATATAGAATTTAAAACCAGGAATCTGAAAATGTAATTAGGTCATTCTGACCAAATTTGACTTAATCCTCATTTTGATATGATGGGTCACATTTTAACTCCCCAATGGCCTGTTTTAAATTTTAAATATGATGTACTGAATTTTGTTGATATTATGATGAACTAAAAACTAGTGCCAAACGATTATTTTCTAATCGATTAATCTAACAATTATTTTTTTCGATTAATTGATTATTCTAACAAC